TCATTGTAATATACTAATGCAATTATTGAATCATTGTTATCACTCATTTTGAAAAAATATGGTAAAAGAAACACACAACAGAAATTAACTAAAGAGAACTAATCTACACTGACGTAAAATAAAAACACACAACGAAAATTAACTTAAGAGAACAAACCCACACTTATGTAAAATAAAAAAACACAACAAAAATAATTGAAGAGAACAAACCCACACTGATGTAAAAAAAAAACACACAACAAAAATTAACTGAATAGAACGAATCCACACTGATGTTAAATAAAACACACAACAAAAATTAACTGAATAGAACGAATCCATATTAATGTAAAATAAAAAAACATAAATTAATTGAAGATGAACCACACTGATGATGCATGAATTTGGAGCGGAAGAGTGATATATATTAAGCTAAAATGCCGAACTGCTGGGCTAGTTAGGATCCACGCGTAAAAAAAGGTAACACGTAAAATGGTATGCTGCTTAGCGAGTTGTACACGTGTCAAAAAAGTGACACATAACATGCTATGCAGCATAACAAGTTGTACGGGTCAGAAAAGTGACACGTAACCGGCTACGTTGCATAGCGAGTTATACAGTGACACGTAACTAGCTACAATGCATAGCGAGTTATACACTTGTAAAAAAAATGGCCAGCTAAGACGCCACGTAGGCCGTAGCCCAGTGTTTTAGGCCACATGACAAAAGTTGTCTGTCACGTAACTTTATTGTACTGTGCAACGACTTACATGGTCATAGACCTGCTGCCACATGTACACACCTAACTCGCCACGTGTTGTAACAAGATAGATTACATGACAATTTGAATTTTTTTTGATAAACATGGCATTCAATAATATTTTGTATAAAGAATGGCAATTTGCTCGTTGTCCCATTGTTGAGCTTAAACAATAGCCATGAACCACTGAAATTGCAGAATGAAAGGACAGGTCCACTGACATAAAGAGAATCGGGTTCAATCTTGACACTGCACGGCGGTCGACCGCGACCTTTCACTATATATTAATAAACTTGAAAGTGATTGATCATTTGTGATTGGAATTTAGGTAAGAGCGGGACACTGGTACATGGCAATATGGCACAATCATTTGTGCATTTCAATGACGGTGATTTTTGACCTATGCAGGATCGAACATGCATGGGTCGGTTCTGACTTCTGATAGTAATAAAGGGCTTATGAGTGAGTGGCCTTAAACAACAACTTGAGCATGGAGTTTGGACCATATGCTCATTAAGCTATGTAGCCCCACTCAATGTGTAATCAGAATATATGTAACGCTGGCTATTTATGATCTTGCGTGACTCACATGAAAACAATATTGTTTTGTTAAACTTGGACATGAGCCATATAGAGATTACATTTGCCTGATGTTACCTTGATTAGAGTCCGTATTACCTTTTTTTTTATTCCTAACAAAAAACACGGTCTCCACTTTAGTCTCTTATAAAAATAAATTAGTCAGTTAGTCCCTAACAAATTCAAGGTGGATTCATTTTAGTCCTTTTGAGGGATTAATATGGGTCTTTTTTAAATTTGTGAAGGACCACGATTTCAACTAAATAGGTCCACTTTGAATTTGTTAGGGACTAACTGACTAATTTATTTTTGTAAGGGACTAAAGTGGAGACCTTATTTTTTTTGTTAGGGACTAAAAATGGTATTTACTCCCATATTTATTTGTGACAGGAATCTTTTAAAGATTTAAGGTTGATATGAAACTTTTTCATTTTATATGTATCAATCAGCTGCTCTTCTTTAAGGCTTTGTTTGGGAGTTGGTTTTAGGAGGAGAAGGAAAGGAAATAGAGAGTTTTAATAAGCCTTTCTCTTGTTTGTGAGTTTAAAAGAAGGAGGGGAAGAATTTGGGGATTTTTACTAAATCCTCCAAAACCCTCATTCTTCTTAAAATTAAAGTTCCCCCAATTTGGGGGGTTTGAGGGGAAAAATATTAAAAATTACTTATCTACCCTTAGCATTAAAATGTTAAAACTACATAATTGTGAATCATTTTTAAATGCGATATTATTATAAAAGTCTCAAATACCGACAAAATTTATTGACGAAAAATATTTCGTCAAAAATAGTGATGAAATTTTTGATAAAAATCATATACGTCAAAAAATTCCCGTCAAAACTAAAGACGAAACCAGATTTTTCCATAATCACTAACATAAATTTTGTACGGGAAAAAAAAATTCAGTCAAAATTACGGAAAAAATCTAAATTCAGTCGAAACTTTTAACGAAAATATTTTCGTCTAAAATTTTTACGAAACACATTTTGATCGAAAAATTTCGACGTAAAACAATTACGTCAAAATTTTTTACGAAAAATATTTCCATCAAATTTTGACGAAAAATATTTTCATCAAAATTCGTGACTAAAAATATTTCTGTAAAAAATTTTGACAAAATTTTTTTTTTGTCAAAATTCTTTATGGAATCTAAATTTTTCCAAAATATTTCAGAAAAAAATATATTCATCAAAATTTTTGACGAAAAATATTTGCATCAAAATTTTCAACGAAACACATTTTTATCGAAAATTGTTGACGAAAAAAATTTCATCAAAATTCTTAATAGAATTTAAATTTCGCACAAAGTTTTCGACGGAAACATTTTTGTTAAACTCTTTGGCAAAAAAAATTTCTGTCGAAATTTTTAACGAAACACATTTCTATCAAAAATTTTCGACGGAAAATATTTCCGTCAAGTTTTTTGATAAAAAATATTTCTATCAAAATTTTCAAGGGAACGCATTTCTGTCTAAAAATTTTGACAGAAAATATTTCCGTAAAAATTTTTGACGGACAAATATTCTGTCAAAATTCTTTACAGAATCTAAATTTCGTCGAAAGTTTCGAATGAAACATTTCCCTCAAAATTTCTAACAAAACAATTTCTGTCAAAATTTTCGTCAGAATATATTTCCATCAAAATTTTAAATTTTTTTACAGAATTCTTTTTCGTTTAAAAGATTTGATGGAGGAAATCATTTTCGTCAATACTTTTGATGGAAATTAAATTTCGTCGAAAATTTCGGTTGAAAAATTATGTCGCTTTTCGAAGAAAAGTATTCCGACGAAAAAAATAATTTTATGATGAAATTTTCAATGTTTGCAACATAGAAATTTCATAGAAAATATGATCTTTTTTGGTGTTGTGAGAAGTACATAAATAAATTTTTTAAAAATTTTAAATTTAATTTAATTTGTAAAGTATAATAATTATATTAATTATAAAAAAAGGGTAAAACGGTAAAAATATCTCATTGACCCTCCATTATCCCTTCCATTCCATTTTTTTGACTCCCAAACAAGGGAAATGATACCCTATAATTTCCTCCCCTTCCTTCCCCTCCCTTCCCCTTGGATCCCCTTCTTCCCTTCCCCTCTAAACTCCCAAACAAAGCCTAAAGGGTTAGTAGTAAGATTTACAGTTATTGTCTTAAAACAATATAATTCTAGACACGATTGGATCATATAAATGTAATAACTAAGTGCCTGTTTGTATATTCTCTTTTTTAAGCTAGAAGCTACTTATAAGCATAAGCTAGGCCAAACAGGTTTTGAAAAAAGCTCTTATAACGAAAAACTCTTTTTTTTATAATGAAGAAAAAAGCTGAAAACTAAAAGTTCCTAGAAGGAGCTTTTTTTTAAGCTCTTATCTCTTTTTCTTGAATTGTATGTGTTTTTTAAAATGAAGAGTGATAAAGATAGAGAGAGATAATTTTTTTGAAATACGTGCTTTTAAGTAATTTTTAAGCTAAATTTTTTATGTAATTTCCAAACAGCTTTTAACTTCTTTTTTTAAGCTTTTTTTTTTTTAGCTTTAACTTGTAAATAGCTTCTAGCTTAAAAATAAGAGGATCCAGACAGGCTCTAAATTTATAGAGTGGGACATCTATCTTGATCTTGGTGGAATATTAATATCTAACCTCATTTAAAATTTTAGTTACCAAATAAAAAATTGATAGATTTAAGTCTCATTTAATTTAACTATTTACAAAAGCATTACATTTCAATAAAGTACTCTATGATTGTCATGATGTGCATGTCTTTTAATTGGGTCAATTTTGCTATCCCTTTCTTTACTTTTATATAACCAAAACCTGTTGATTATATTATGACGAAATAATTCACGATATATTTCGTATTCCGATATGATAAACTCAAAGTGATATTAGTTTTTAGAAATTGATTGTTAGTTTTTTCCATTGTATAAAACTAAAAAGATAATTTTATCTTGAAAAATTAATTTCATTAAATTTATAATTCAAATGATTCTGCATAATTAATAAGTTATCATGGCCCACAAATTATTTAATTATGGAAAATAAATCTCAAAATTTTTATTTTCAATTTAAAGTAAGATTAACAATTAATAAAAAAGTCAACAGTGCAATTAAAAAACATAACAATAAGAACAAAAAAATATGACCAAACAATGACTAAACTAAATGTTAAAATACTAAACTAGAGAACATAAAATATTTTTATTTAATTTGATTTTTATTATTTTTATTTTTATTTTACTGACTATTTCATTCCAATTATTTATTTTTCAATATTTTCTGAAATAGAAAAAAAAAGCCCAAAACCTCAATTAAATACTTTAACATGAGTCCAAGAGAAATGAAGCTAAAAATCAACACCCAAAGAAAAGATAAAAATAAAATAAAGTGGCCACGGTTCAAAATATAGTACAGAGAAGAAGAAGGGAAGTCGCCACGGTTCAAAGGCAGCAAAGGATGTGAGTTCGACTGGCTGAGGCATGTGCACTGGAAAAGAAAAAAAGGAAGAATGTGACACGCAAGCGCTTGAGTCATTCAGTTGGCAGAAAAACTATGAATGATCATAACAAGATTTGTAAGCTTTTGTTTCATTTCTTTCATGTTGCATTGGAATGCAAAAAAGATACCCTATAAGGGAACAGTAAAGACAAAAGAAAAAGAAAGAGACAAAATAAAAAAAAGGTTGCTAAGCAATTAACAACAATATTGTCACCATCCTAAGCTTCATATGAATATGAGCAAGAATTGAAATTTCTTTCCTTGCTTCTGAAATCTCAAACAATGGCGATCATAGTGTAATGATATACAATCAATAGCTGGTCTTGAATGGCTTA